GGGGACCCCGGGCCCCCCCCGCCCTAGGCCAGCATCTCCTGCCACTTGACGTAGAGGAGGGCGGCCAGGCCCTTGAGCTGGGTTCGGAAGAGGAGCCCGCTGCCCTCGCGCAGCCCCCTCCCAAAATGCTGGTCCAGCTGGGCGCAGAGCTGCTCCAGGTGACCCTGTGGGGACAGGCAGCAAGAGCGGGGGGTCAGGGACACGGTGGACCCCCCACACACTCCACCATAGGTCCCCCCCTACCCAGGGCCCGGTGCTCACCCGCTGCTCGGCCGGCGGGTGCTCGGAGCCCACCACGTTGCTGGCGAGGAGGAGGAGGCTGTAGCTCAGGTAGCAAGCCTGCGGGTGGGAGCGGGCATGAGGGCTCACCGAAAGGGGTGTGGGGCACCCCGGGAACCCATTTTCCATCGAGGGGAGCACCCACCTCCTGGTCGGCGTCCTCCGGCTCCTCCAGGTCCCCGGCGAGCACCAGACGTCGCAGGGTATCCGGCTGCGCCAGCACCAGGAACCGGCCCAGCACCTGCAGCTTGGGGGAAAGCGGGTGTCAGGGTGCCCGCACCCCGTGCCAGAGCTCACGGTGGGCGCCGGAGCCCCGGCACGCTCCCGCCTCGGCGCACCCACCTCTGCGTGTGCCCCGGGGGGCGGCACGGTGCCCGGTGGCTCCCTCAGCAGCCGGGCCATGGCGTGAAGGCTCAGGTGCTGGCGAAGATCCCTGGGAAGAAGGGGAAGAGTGTGAGGGAGGGTCCGGCACGTGCCTGCGTGCCTGTCCCCGCCTCTGCGCCTGTCACTGCCACCCCCCGGTGCCGTCCGTGCAGCGCCAGCATGGCCCCGGTGCCCTCCGGACACCCGTGGCGAGGGGCGGTGGTGCCGGCAGCCGGATCCTGCCCGCTTTGTGCCTGCGCAACCGTCTGGAATAAAGGAATTAGAGGCAGACGCATCCCAGCCCGCCCGGCCCTGGCACGGTGCTGCGGGGCTGTGCCAGCTCCTGCCGGGCTCCCCGTCACCAATCCGCGGGGCGTGGGTGGCACGGGACGCCTCGCAGGCCATCGCTGCCAGCCCTGCCTGGCATCCCACCCGGTTGCGGCGCTGCAGGCAGGAACGTACCTGCCCCTGCTTGTGAGGTCCGGCAGCAGCCGCATGAGGGCAACCAGGTTGTGGTGGTGCCGGGAAAGCTGGCAGAGGGACAGGCAGAGGGCTGGCAGCTGGGGAGAGAGGGAAACACTGCGGGCAGAGCCCTCAGGGAGGGGTGCGGAGGGTGGGCACGGGGCAAAGGGATCCCCCCCCTGCCCTGGGTACCTGCTCCTGCCAGTCCCGGATGCCCTCCAGCAGGCAGTGCAGGAGGTGCTGCAGTTCAGGCAGGGGCTGGCAGCGGAGCGCCCGGTCAAGGCCGAGGAAGGAGAGGAGGGTGATGAGAGTCAGGCGGGCACTGTCGGCATAGCAGCACGGCTGGGTGACCACGCACAGCGCCAAGAACTGGAGGGGGAAGGCGGTGTGTCACCGAGGAGCCCCTGAAACCCACCGTGGGGACGTCCCCACCAGGGCAGGGACAAGGCTGGCATGGCTGGTGGCAGCCCCAGCAGGTGCCCCTCCAGAAGCTGGCATCAGTGCTGTCCACCCAATTAGCAGGGCAGAGATAATGAAGGCGCAACATCGCCGGTGCAGGCAGCTGCCTCCCACCTTGCAGATGTCACCGAGCTGTGTCACCAGGGCCAGTGTGCTGGTGGCATCAGGGCTCGCCTGCCTCGGGGAGCAGGATGGATCCAGGTTCCTGGAAGGAGCAGAAGGGGTTGGCAGGGGGGCTGGCAGGGTGGGCAGCACCCTCCTGCCCACCGTACCGGCACTCACCTCCTCTCCGTGGGGCACAGCTCGGGGGGCAGCAGGCGCTGGCGGCGCAGGGAACTCAGGTCAGCGCCAAGACGGGTGAAAGCCCAACCGATCTCCTGCACCGTGGGGCACCAGGGCTCGCCTGCGGGCAAGGGGACGGTGAGAGCGGGCAGGGATTTGGGGGGCACCCTGGCGAGGCAGCCCCGCACCCGCCCCACGCTCACCCCCGGTGCTCAGCCAGATCTCCCACAGCGCCTGGGAAGCATTGGTCGTGTCTGGGCAGAGGGTCATCAGCTGCCGAAACAAAGAAGGGGTGACCGGGGTGTCACTGCAGGAGGAGGGGGCACCCTCTTGCGACGGTGGCTTACCTGGAAGAGCCAGCGCAGGACAGGCAGCGGGCAGGTGGGTGCGCAGCGGTAGAGGAGGCTGAGGCCCCCGTTGCGGACAAAAGTTGCCTGGCAGGCAGGCGAGTTGCTGGGGGAGGGACGGGGGGGTGAGCGGGGCTCTGCTCGTGTCCCCTGTCCCCCCTGTCTTCACCCCAGTACGTCCTGCCCACCCCCTGCCCAGCACTCACCAGAGGAAGGACCCCTCCAACACGCTCTGAGGCTGCAGCCCCTGGGTGTCCAGGGTGGGTGCCGGTGCCGGGTGGGCGCAGAAGATGGGCTCCCCGGGGTGGACGGCAGGGATGAATCTGGGTTTCGTGGTGAAGCGGGCCAGGAGATCCCTGCGGGCGGGAGGACAGCGTCAGGTGGGGAGCGGGCACCATGCGGACCCCCCTAACCCTCCACCCGGGCACAGCTGGCAGGGGTACCTGTACTCCTCGGGCAGCTGGGTGTCCTCGTCTGCGGACTCGGAGGCACTGGCGTCATCCACGTGCACCCGGGCCAGGCTGGCCTGCAGCATGGCTGCCTGGCTCTGCTCCCTGGTGCGGGGGCGGTTAGGGCAGGGCAAGAGCACCCCAGGATGCCCAGCACAGCCCCCATGCCCACTCCCGTGCCCAGGGTGGGGTACCAGCCTTACCTCTTCTCCTGGATCAGTGAATCCAGGCTGTTGGCAAGCAGATCCGGCTGTGGGCACACAACCTGGGCAACAGAGCAAGGGAACAGTGAGTTTTCAGCAGGTACCAACCACAACACCCAGCAGGGGCCGAGAAGCCCCCAAGGACCCCCTGATGCCGGGGCACCCACCCTCAGGCAGTGACCTACCTGCTGGTGGTCCGCAGAGCTCAGGGGCTCATCCCCTGCTAGCAGCATATCCTTCAGTGGGATCAGGTCATCGTCCTCACTGTCTGTGGGGGACGCCGTCCCCCCCGTCGTGTCCGGCAGGTGCCCCCCAAAGCTCCTGCCTGCCTGCTGCAGCACTGTTCCAGCTGCAGGGCGCTGCCCATGGTTGGCCTCACCCCCCAGGGACCTTGCAGCTGCCTCTGGCAGCACAGGGACATGCCCGGAACTGACCGGTGCCACCTGGCATCCTGGGGAGCCCTGGCTGGCCACATCCTGCCGGTTGGCATGGGGCTGAGCGGGGCCAGGAGGCTGCTGCCCTCTGCTCACCCGTTTCCTGGTGCCAGGAGACTTCTTGGGGCGCTGGGGAGCTGTGGGGACAGCACAGGGGTCACCACAGATCCCCTTGGGGCTCAGGGAGAGCCGTGGGGACAATGTGGGGGTGACCAGGGGCCCCCTTGGGGCAGGGGGAGGGCCATGGGGACAATGCAGGGGTGACCAAGCCTCCCACCCCTCTTTGGGGCATGGGGGCTGTGGGGACAACCCAGGGGTGACCAGGTCCCTGCCTTGGGGTGCCAGGGGACTGTGGGGACAATGCAGGTGAGCAGGGCCCCCCTTGGGGCACAGGGAGGGCTGTGAGGACAATGTGGGGGTGACTGGGGGCTCCCTTGGGGCACAGGGAGGGCTATGGGGACAACACAGAGGTGACGAGGGCCCTCCTTGGGGTGCGAAGGAACTGTGGGGACAATGCAGGTGACCAGGGGCGCCCTTGGGGCACAGGGAGGGCTGTGGGGACAACACAGGGGTGACCAGGCCACCCCCCCTTGAGGCATGGGGTCTGTGGTGACAACGTGGGGGTGACCAGGGTCCCCCTTGGGGCACTGTGGGGTCCACAGGAGGGTCACGGCTCCCCTCACACCGGTCCCCAGCACCGGGCCACGCTCACCTCGTGCCCTGCCGGCGCCCCGTGGGCGGTGGGAGACCCGGGGAGGGCTGTTGGCGGGTGGGGGGCCAGGGGGCCAGGGCTCCAACAGGCCGGGGGGCGGCGGGGCGATGGGGCGGCCCACCCGGAGGTTCTTGAGGGCACGGAGCTGCTGGTAGCGCTGGAGGCTGGCCTGGAAACCATAGCTGAAGAGCCCCGAGCGGGGTATGCGGGTGGAGGAGAGGGGGATCTGGTACCAGCGCAGCCCCTCGGGGTGGGGGGCCATGGCCGGGCCCGGCGCCCCTCAGGGGAGACCCCGAAATGGCAGCGAAGCGCCCGCCATGGCGACGTGGGGCGGGGCTGTGAGAAAAAGGCGGGGCTTACGCTGGGGAGAGCCAATAGGAGGCGGGTGGGCCCGAGGTGACTACTCCTACCCGCGGCGCCCCGGCGCTTTCAAAGCTTTAACCGTCAACGGCTCAACTGTCTGGCTGCGACCAATCGGAGCGCGCGGAGGGGAGGAGCAGGGCGGCTGAACCAATCACGGCCAGTTCTTGGCGAGGGGGCGGGGGACAGCCGAGCGAGGCACCGTCAGCCAATCAGAACGGGAGGCCGGCGGGGCATGATGGGAGGGGTAGCCCTCCGAGAGGAAGCGCTTCCGGGTCGCGCCGTCACGGCGGGGACCGGGGCCCCGGCCCCCCTCCGCTTGCCCCGGAAGTTCCTTTCCGCGGCCTGATCCGGTGCACGGCGGCGGTGCGGCCTCCAGCCCGGCGGTGCCATGGCGGACGTGACCGCTCGGAGCCTGCAGTACGAGTACAAGGCGGTGAGTGCGGCCCCCGAAGGCCCTTGGGCTTCCCTCGCTTCAGCGGTCCGGTACCGGGATCTCTCCGGTGCTCTCCCCTTCCCCGGTGCTGTTAACCCAGGAGGTGTCATTAAACCCACCCCCGGGTCCGTGGCGGCCCCGGTTCTTCCCGTGAGAGCGGTCTGCCTAAGGACAGCTCGGTGTAACGGCCCTTTACCGGGACCGGGGGGGGGAGCTTTTCTGGGGACTAAAACCCCCTTTTTAAGTTTTTTTTTCCGGACCTTTTCCCCCTTAAAGCAGAATTTTCCGGGTGCCGAGAAGTAACAGAGCACCCGGGCGAGGAGTGATGGGCCCTGATGGGGCCGAGTGGCTCAGTCCCAGTTTAAAGTCTAAATCCGCGCCTGGTGGTGGTGATGGTGCGGGGGGGTTAAATAACACCCCGGTTAATTAAATCCAAATTATTTGTGCCTCGAGCAACGCGCAGAGCGTTGTGTTACAAGAAACGGTGCGTGGGTGGCGGTTAGTAGCCCTGCCGTGGGTCCCGGATGGGGCTGACCCCCTCCCCGGCCCCAATGGGACCCACAGTGTGACCCACGTTAGCTCCTTCCTGGCCCCCATCAGCTCCTGTTCTTGTTTTCTCCCAGAATTCCAACCTCGTCCTCCAAGCTGACCGCTCACTGATCGATCGGACCCGGCGGGATGAGCCGACGGGAGAGGTCCTGTCCTTGGTGGGCAAACTGGAGGGGACCCGCATGGGGGACAAGGCCCAGAGAACCAAACCCCAGATGCAGGAGGAGAGACGAGCAAAGTGAGTGCGAGCTCAGAGCCGAGGGGCCGCAGAGCCCTGACCGAGAACTGTATTTGAGTGAAAAACACTAGGGGTAGTTAATTTTTCATTCTCGTCTTTGAATAATGCAGCCTTGATTTGGTTTAGGTGTACAAACGGGGTAGAATTCAACGGTGTTGGGGGTGTTTTCTAGAGGAAAATGTTTTGGTGGCATGAGCACAGGGCTGCAGACCGAAAACCACCAGCCTGGAAGATGCAGAGACATTATTTTCTTCATTTGGAGTCACTTGTTCCACGTCAAGAAACTAAAATTGAAGTGAAAAATTAAAATACATCTACTTTTCTCCTTTGTTTTTCAAATAAAAGAGACTAGCTGTACTTGAAATAGCAGGAGCAGGGTTCCACTGCAGGGCTGACCCAGGCGTTCTTCTCCCTGCCCCTCTTTCCAGGAGAAGGAAGCGTGACGAGGACAGGCACGACATCAACAAGATGAAGGGCTACACCCTGCTCTCCGAGGGCATCGACGAGATGGTGGGTATCATCTACAAACCCAAAACCAAGGAGACCCGCGAGACCTACGAGGTGTTGCTGAGCTTCATTCAGGCGGCTCTTGGGGACCAGGTGAGGACGGGGAGGCCTCAGGACGGGTGTCCCTGCTCCAGCAAAGGATTCAAAGCCTGTAAGATCCAGCCCTTGGATGTTTTAATCCTTCCCGGTAATCCCATGGGATGGATTCACTTTATCGGTGCTGGCTTTTGGGCTTGGGGATTTTGCAATGGTGCCTTTGTTTTGGGGTTGGCCTTTCAGTGCCTATACAAGGGTACAGAAATAGGAGGGACCAACCCCGTACCCTTCACGTAGCAAATTTCTGCTCCGTGTGATGCGTTATTCCTTTTGCAGCCACGCGACATCCTCTGCGGAGCTGCCGATGAGGTTCTTGCGGTACTGAAGAACGAGAAGCTGCGCGATAAGGAGAGGCGGAAGGAGATTGACCTGCTGCTGGGACAGACCGATGATACCCGCTACCACGTGCTGGTGAACTTGGGGAAGAAGATCACGGATTACGGTGGAGACAAGGAAATCCAGAACATGGGTACGGGAAAGGCGTTGTCGTGGGCTGCAGCTTCAGGGATGGGGCTGGCAGAAAGGCAGGTTACTGGTGTGTTGTGAAATGGAGTGGTTTGGACTGCTTAAAGAATCACTGTCAAGGGTATTAACAAAAATGATTTAACAGGAATGTATATAAAAGTGCGACTTCACAGAATTCGATGGCAAGGTTCACACTCTTACTTAATACATGAATGAAACGTACAAAGGAAAATTAAATTAGAATCAAACTAAAACTATGAAACCGTCAATGGAAAAGGTTAAGAGAGAAACATACAGAGAAAAATGGGGTTAGAATTGATTTATCATGATTGGTAGAGAGATCGGGAATGTAAAAAGGGTAAGGGAGACCCTCCCATTGAGTCATGAGGTTCAGAGAAGACCGCCTTGCTTTCTGAACTCCTGTCAGAGTCTAGGTGCGGCTGGATCGACTTCTAGTTCCAGACTTGGTCAATGGTTTATATTTAAAGGGATTATGAGTATAATAGCAGCCTGAGATTCATTCACAGTTGAATAAAGTTCACAGCAGTAACTTATGTATAGATTTGAAAAGCAATATTTGTAATATATTTGCTATAGAATATTTCAGTCAGTGCCCACACATGCACGAAGACACAGAGAGATATACATAAGTGCGAGTAAAAGAGGTATACCTGTTAAAAATTTCCCCTCGAGTTCAGCGAAAATATTCATGTTAAATGCTTTGGCGTCTTTCTCAACACGCAAAGGGTTGGGCCTCAAGGAGCGGAGAGAATCAGCCCAGGTTTTGTTGGCTTTTGGTGACAGACCTCTGATTTTCACAAACCAGAAAGTTTGTGAGCTCCCAGAGTCATCCCGCTCAGAGGCAGCTGCTGGTCACAGCCTGCTGCAGTCCAGGAGAGCCCAAAGGGTCTCACTTAGTACTGCTGCTTATAGATTCGGGAGATGATTGGCTTTAGTCATCAGGAAATTACTGGGTTTCCAGTAGCACTGGTACCGTTTCACGTGAGTTACAGTTCAGATAAGGAAGGCTCCAGGGCTGTCAGGAGAGGACAGAGATATGTCCCAAGGTTGTCAGGAAATGACTAATTATTCTTACTCCCGTCCCCAACCTCTGCCAGGCAACAGGAGTCCTTGGGACAATCAGTGCAGCTCCCTGTCTTAGCCATGCAAGAGTTTCTGGTATGGTCAAGGGACGCTTAACCGCCTGGCTCATTACACTTATGCTAAGGCCTAGTGAGACTTCCTGAGTTCGTAGATCAGCCTAGAGAGGGGGAAGAAATGCATCACCACGTGGTGCCAAACCCAGCCTTACTCTGGGGTAGGTAGCGTGCACACAGAGAAGCCAGAAAAATGTTTGGACAGTTTTCAAGCCCCCAAACCATGTTCTTTTCATCTTTTGGATGAGCAGAGGTGTGGGCGGGTGTGTGGATCTGTGAACCTTGCATGTGGTGCCCAGATTTTCTGATGAACTAACTCCACTCTCCTTTGCAGATGACAATATTGATGAGACATACGGGGTGAACGTGCAGTTCGAGTCTGATGAGGAGGTACGAGATGAGGCTGCAGGGTGTCAGCGGAGTCTCTGCGCTGTCCCCTTGCTCCGAGCTGCATCGCAGGGACATTGTTTGTCCCGTTTTACTCGGTCATGTTGGGAAGTGGGCATTAGCTTGGGCTGGGATGTCACTGCCAGGAAGGAGAAGCCGGATTATTTTAGATGTCGCTTCCTGGCTTGGGGAGGATTTGTTGATTATCCTGCTAATCCAAGGCTTATCATGAGTCAGTACGATGGAAAACAGATGGTGATATTTAGATCTCGTGGGGAAACTTGACAGATCGGGAGGAAGAGAGAAATTCAAATGCACTGGTTGGAAGTGTTTCATAGAAACGCTCCCTGAGATTGTTTTTTGGAAGAGGCTGAGTGAACGATAAGAGAGACAAATACGAGATTGTTGGAGGAGTCGCTGGCAAGACCTCTCTGTAGAGAGCAGAAATAATCTTATCACATGGTCCTTCACCTGAACAACAGCGTGATGTTCCTGTTAAAAGCACAAGGCAGGCTGCTTCCCCTCAGGAATGAGTTGCCAGATTAATAATTTCTGTCGAGGAAAAGCTTCTCTTTTGATGTTTGCAAAAGCCGTTTACTGGAACTCTCCTTTCAACAGGAAGGTGATGAGGATATTTATGGCGAAGTGCGTGACGAGGCGTCCGATGATGACATGGAGGGAGATGAAGCCGTTGTCCGTTGCACCCTCTCGGCCAACGTGAGTCACCGAGGAACACGTGAAACATGGTTTGGGATCGTCTGGAGGAGGGTTGGGGATCCTGTTGGTCTATGGATGGAGTTAAGGTTGTTTATGGGTGGAGAGGAGCCTTGAAGCTGTTGTCTGATGGAGGCCAAAATGAACATTAATAAAATTAACAGGTCTGGCGGCTGCACAGGGTAGAGAGAGGCCCCAGATGCTCACTCCACAACACAAAGGTTGTGTGCCTGCTTTCCTCTCGCAGGAAAATAACATTTTTGTGGGATTTTCTTAAGCTTGTGGCTTCGGGTGAGCTGATGAGTTCGAAGAAGAAGGATCTGCATCCTCGAGACATCGACGCCTTTTGGCTC